GTACCATTTACGGTTGAATAAATATGGTGTTTAGACTTATTCCCATAAAAATCTGGGCACCAGGATCTTGATGAGGAACATAATTTCCATTATCATATTGTTTCTGGGCAAAAACAGATTCAACCTACATCGGTTTTACCTGCAGTGCCTTTTTCAGGAATGTGAGGACTCCCTGCCGTTCCACACGGCTCTGCCACCTGCAATGTCCTCCTGCCTTTCTCGTTTCCCTGTGATCCAAGGGTGTCTACGGATCCTGGGAGCCGCCCGAGGTCAGAGGTCAAGGGCAGATCCAGGTTTTGTGGGGCTCTCTGAAGGAAAAGAGCGAATACAAAATTAGGTCCAATGGTAATGTTTCTTTAAAACAGGAAAAATCACAATTTATGCCAGCCTTGGAAATTCACATCCCTTTCTTGTGACATCTCTTCATCCAGTTTACCAGAAATGCTTACATAAAATGCTTCCTGTTTGTAAACTGGCCTCCCCTTCCCATACAGAACACTCTATGACTCCCAGATCACATAGCCAACCCTCCTCTGATCCCCAAAGTGAGCAACCCTAAAGTTTAAGCTTCATCAGCTTCACAATGAATCTGCCTCTGGCAGGGAACCTGTGTTCTTTCTCTGTTGTCCCCAATAGTGAGAGTACAAGGCTCTGCTGTCACTGAGCCCAGGCAGGGAGAAGTCAGAGAGCAGAGGGCATCACAGGCCAGTGTGTTCAAAGCAGGATTCTTCCAGGCACCTGAATCAGAGTCACCTGGAGAGTTTGCCAAAATGCAGATTTCAAGAACTGCGGGATCCGATTCTGGAGTAGGAATGATGCATCTGCATGTGTACGCTGACTCTAGGGATGCTGAAGCTTAAGGACCACTGCTCTAGGATGGTGCTCTCTATTTAGCTGGGTCAGTGGGGGGACAAAAGTCCACAGTGACTCCAAAGGCCTCATCCAAAGCCTCCTGAGGTGGGGGCCAGGCAGAGGCTACATCCAGCAGTACAGGGTCTGCTGAAGGAGGTGGTACCACATCCCCAGCCTCCCTTCCCTGCCTCGGCTCATCTGCCAAGCTCCACAAGCCCTCCTCCCTCACGGCCCCCACTGCACAAACAGCACGCCTACTAGTCCAGTGTCTGATACTACATTAAAGAACCAAGTGGAACTGAGCTGAGGATCATTTGTAGGAGTGTGTAATCCCAGCATCCTTCTCCAGAGACTCTTTGCTGTTACTGAATCCCTCCTTGCTTCCTGTCAGGCAGTTATGCATGGCTAACCTTAGAGAACGAACTTGGAGGGAGAAAGGTCAGTAACAGGGTCATTCAATCCTCTGAGTAGTTACCTAAGAGCTTCCAAAGGGCTGAACTGAGTCCCCATCTCCTGCCAGGAAAGTATGTGGCTCAGAATGACAGCCACGATTTAAGGGAGAAGACTATTATTTACTGAGATATGCAATGTGCCAGACACTGTGCTCACTGCCAGACACTTGTAACCCTGTCACATCTCACAACCATCCTATGAGTATAAATTAATACCCTGATTGCTACCCTCAGCTTAAAGAAGTGTTTAGACTGCACTCAGCTCTATTAGGTACCAGTTATGTAAATGTTAAACTGTTTTATTTCCTCCTATCAGAGTCCTACAGTTGGTGAATTTTTTAAAGATTTTATTTATTTATTTATTTATTTTAGAGAAAGAGGAAGGCAAGGAGAAAGAGAGGGAGAGAAACATCAATATGTAAGATACATCAATCGGTTGCCTCTCGCATGCCCCCAGCTGAGGACCCAGCAGGCAACACAGGCATGTCCCCTGACTGGGAATCAAATTAGCAACCTTCTGGTTCGCAGGCTGGCGCTCAATCCACTGAGCCACACCAATCAGGACAAGCTGGAGAAATTGTTAATGAGCCCTTGCTTAAATGTGATTAGCATCATGCCTTACATGTAGTAGATGTTCAACAAGTATTAACTGCTATTACTTGAATTAATATTTTTACACAGGAAAGAACTGGAACTCAGAGAAGTTAAGCACTTTTCTTGAAGCAACACAGAGGTAGGGTAAACAGAGCTTCAAACCTCTGGCTCTCAAATCTATACTCTTTCCTCAATCCCATTGGGTTGTAAGAGAGTTGGAGTCAGCTCAAAGGAAGCTTTCTCCTTTCTATCCCCATGGGTAATGCAATTCCTACAAGGTCTGTCACATAGGAACCAGCCACTTGGCAAATATTACTTGCTTTCATCCCATTTATTCCTCAATAATCAGGTACTGAGCACCTACTATAGGGCACTAGTCTTGACTGAATGCTGTGTGGGACAGTCTTAGCCCTCGGGAAGCTCACAGTCTGAGAGCTAAGATACACTAAGATACACACTAGGCCATGCGTAGATGCTGGGATGCAGGGGCACTGGAGTAGAGAGAGTTCAGGCTCTTGACCTGGTAAAGGACCGGCAACATTTCCTCCTTCTCACGGTCAGTCTGTATACAGGCACTCAGGATGCTGGCCCTCAGGATGCTGAGGTGGCTCCACCAAACTGACAAGGGACCCGAACACTCACACAGAAGCATGCAGTCAAGTTTGGGAGCCCTCCACTCATTTAGTCAGTGTCAGAGTCCTGCCAGGTGTCCCTTACAAAGGCCCACGGCTGTCTATTCTCACAGCTCCCCTCTCCTTCCTTTTCACAACAGCCTCCTCACTAGCCTCCCATTTTCCTGCCTCTTTCATCCCAGATCACGTGTGCACAGGCGAGCTAAACGGCTCCGCCTGGCAATTCAGACTTCCCATCAGCTGCTCCACTCTGCATATCCAGTGTTGTATAATATCAAGGACACCATGAGTTCAAAGAGAGTTCAGATTCTGACTGTAGGTTTTAAACTCTTTGAACCTCCATCCTTTTGTCTGTTCAGTGGGGTAAGAGTCAACTCAGAGGATAAAATGAGAGATGTGAACAGGCACAGCATCCAATAGTAGCTCTGTAAGTTCCCTCCCTGCCGTACCCCCAGACAGCCCATTCTACTCTGCTGGTCTCCGCTTTCCTGCCTTTGCTGGTCCATGTTTTCTCTGCCAGTTCAAATCCTATCCCTCCATCTGGACGCAGCTTGGATTTCAACTCCTCCATAAAACCTTCCGTGAATAGTCCTAGGTCATGATGGCTTTATACCCCACAGCAGGGGTGGAGGGTGGTGACATGGGGGTGGTTTCGGAGGTACAATGGACGTATGAGGCATGCTTATTGAATATGTGACAAGGAGAACCCCCTCTGTGCATACAGAACACGCAGATCTTCAAGGCAATTTTATGAAAGCCTCCAGGCCTGGAGTTACCACTGGCTGTGCCCTTGGAAAAGACAGAGCTAGAAAGCTCTGTCCTTGTTCTGTCCAAAGCTCACCTCACAGGACTGAGCTCCAGCTCTGGACGAAGGGAGACATCCAGGATGCCCTCTTCAAAGGACTCCCTGTGCCTTGGACTCTGCCCCACCTACTTTCCTATTGTTGATTCTGCAGCCTCTGGTCAAGACCCATCAGCGGGTGTGACCCGTCTTGGGGCGGAGCTTGTTCTGTCTTTTCTAAGTTGTCCCGGCAGAAGGCCCTCTAAGGCAAGGGCCTTCGGTCTTTGCTCCAGCAAGAGACCCGCTCTCCTAAGCCCAGACTAGTGGCAGGGACCCAGCCTTTCTTCTTTCTAATTTTAAAATTTTTTTTGAGTTTTTAAATTCATGTTTATTCTGTTAACAGCTGTCCCAATTTCCCCCCCTTTCTTTGCCCTCCTCTGCTCAGCAGCCCCCCACAGTCAGGCCCCACACCATTGTCCATGTCCACGGGTCATTCACACGTGTTCTTTCACTGACCCCTCCCCTTCTTTCCACCATTCCCTCCCACTTTCCTCTGGCAGCTGTCTGTTCCATGTTTCCATGTCTCTGGTTCTGCTTTGCTCGTTAGTTTATTTTGTTCATTAGATTCCTCTTATAAGTGAGATCATATGTTATTTGTCTTTCACCAACCAGCTTATTTCTCTTAGCATAAGTCTTCATGTTGTCGCAAAAGGTAGGAGTTCTTCTTTCTTTCTGCTGCATAGTATTCCATTGTGTAAATGAAATTCTGTTGTGTAAAAAACCCCCCACAGTTTTTTAATCCATTCATCTAATGATGGGCACTTAGGCGGTTTCCAACATTGTGCTATTGTAAACAGCGCTGCTATGAACATAGGGGTGCATAAATTCTTCTGAATCAGTGTTTCTGGATTTTTAGGATATATTTCCAGCAATGGAATCTCTGGGGACCCAGCCTTTCTAAACCACCAGGAAGCAGCTCAGAACCCACCTTCATCATGGTTCAGCTCTCACTCTCCTTCCCAGTGTTCATAATACCCAGTCTGCAAGGTGGGCACTCCCCAAAGCCAAGCACCTAAGTGGGTTAGCCAGTTCCTGCCTAACACTAAGTAGATGACATTCTTTTCTAAGGGCCAGGGTAGGACGCTCCAAGCTCTCAGAACCTGCTCAGGGGGCAATGCTAGAAAAGCGCAAGAGCTCGGGGGTATTCGATTCCATTCTTTAAGAGGTGCCTGTGTCCACTGAACAAATTCTAACCCACCCTCTGAATTTCTTAGTCCCCTTTTAAGACCCTATTGGCCTTTGCACGAGGCAAAGAGGCAATATCAGATTCTCCTCTGAGACCCAGGCCCGTGCCCCCTCTTTCAGCCAAGCCTTGCATCTAAAGGCACGAGAACATCACTGGCCCCAGACACTCAAGCTTTAGCATCTGGCCCCACCCAACTCCTCCTCCGGAGGCGTGAATGTGTGTTTAGGGAGAAGGTGCGCCTGGCCACTCAGGAGTTAAAATGGCAGCGGGACTGAAAGGGGGTGGCGTGGCGTGCAGACGGGGAGGCGGCGACCGGAGTGGGCTGGGGAGGTTGGGAGAACAGCAGAAAAGCTAGTGAGGAGGGCGAGCGAGCAGCCGGGAGGAGGGGCGCGGGGCGCCGCGGGGGCCTGCCGGGTGTACTTGGCCGCGCGGCGCGCGGTGAGAACCCCCGACTCAAGCCCGCAGCCTCCAGCGACGCTCGAAGGGCCGCGCGGAGTCCCTGGCGCTAGGCGCGGGGCGCGGGGGCGCGGAGCGGGTCGCCGTTCGGCGATCGCTCTCTCCGACTCTGCCCCGACACCACTCCCAGGACAACTCCTTGGCGGGAAGGCGCCCTCAAGCCTCCCCGGCCTGGGCGGGCGGCACACGGAAGAAGAGCACCGATCAGGCTCCCCAGCCCAGCCCGGGCTGCAGCCGAGCGGCGCGGCGGCCCGGGGACCCGGACGGCGGCCGCAGGGTGAGTGTGCGGCTCAGGGCTGATCCCGGGCGGCGCGGGGGCCGCTGGCGTGGCCGCGGGGACCTGGCGGGAGCTGGGGGAGGGATGGCTGCAGGCGCCGCTGGCTGCCTGCAGGGGAGCTGGCGACTCGGGAAGGGAGGCAGCCGCGAGCGCCTAGGAAGGGAGGGCTGGGGAATGTAAAGAAGGGGGCCAACTGCGCGAGCTGGACCCGAGGCGGAGGGCTAGGTGGCGTCTGGGCCGTAACCCACCCTGAGGGGCCCGGCGCGCCCCAAACTGTTGCTGGGGAGAGCGGGGCCCTGAGATGTCGGAGAGCCGAGAGGTGGCAGAGAGGTTAGGGAGGGCGTGACAGGGGCGGACAGCGGGGTGACAGCGCTCCAGAACCGCGGGGACTTCCCCTGCCTTGGCGCTCTGGTGTCCGTGAGGAGGGACAAGGTGGCCTTGGTGTCCGTGCGAAGTATCTGGAACCGTGAGCCAGGCTCCTCCCGGGCCGGCAAGGGTCTGTCCGCAGCCTGGGATGGGACATTTGGGTTGGGGGATGGGCTCAGCCTGGGGGCCCTGGGAGTGGAAGCGGCATCGGGACGACAACTCTGCGCCCACCTCAGTACCCAGGAGACAGGAGGGGTTGGCCAGCCACAGGTGGTCCGTCTGTCCTGCAGCCAAGGGCGGCGCAGGCTCTGGCTGCTCAGACCGCGAGGAGCTGCCCGTGAGGGGGGCTGAGCTGAGAAGCTGAAGGTGCAAGAGGCCAGGCCCCTTGGGGGTGTTGCTGTGCTCCCCCCTCTTTTTTTTCCCCCATCAAACGAAAGGAAAGAAAATGTCAGCTGGGCTTTGTGCTCTGTTCCTCAGGCTGCCGCAGCTCCCATCTGTTGGAGCCAACGCAGCTTCAAATGGCAGGGTTGGGTCGGGAGGGGGTGGGCTGGGCACAGCGCTCAGTGGCAGAGATGGACTGCACAGACCCTGTGCTTGAAGATCCCAGGTGGTGGGTGGTAGAGAGAACTGCCTCCCCAGGTATGGAGCGTAGAGGTGGCCCCCTGCCAGCTTGTTCACTGTTGTTGGAAGATCTGGGTCTTTTCATGCACAGGCACAAGGCAGGCTCCCCCTTCCCCGCCAGCCTGGGATAGGCTCTGGCCCCGTGTCCTCCTCCTGCACTAGGCGGCCAGGATCCCCTTCCACTGCCCACTGCCCACTGCTCCTTAAAGGTCCCTCTAGCAAGGAGCACTGGGCATGGGCTGGCAAAGCTGTGCACAAGGTACTGATGCCCCCTTGCTTGTGGGCCCTGTGGTTATCAGAAAAAAGTCACATGTGGGTGGCCTGACCCACTTTCCTGGCTGACCAGGTGCTCCTGTGAGGAGAAGATGGAAAGAGAAGGGCACAGCGAGGGGTCTGAGCCTTCTAGGCCCTTTGCCTCCCCCTGAGCTGGCTCATACTGAGTCTCCTTTCTGCCTAGGGAGCCCCTCTGGAAAGCATGGAACTAGAGGCCACAGTGCCCCAGGGACTGAGCTTTGCCTGGGGTCTGGCAGATACCTGGTGTCTAGAAGCACCCCGCTATCCACACCTTTCCCCAGCACGGCCTAACCCAAAGGAGACACCAAATGGCAATGGGAACTCAGAGGTCTGCTAAGACAAATTCCACTCAGACTGAGACAAGTTTCCTCTGTAACTCACTGCAATTTCTCCCCACACCTCAATTGCCTCCTGTGCCTGCCTCCATCCTCCCTCCTCCTTTCTCCTTTGCTCTTCACTCCCTTTTCTCCAGCGTTTCTTCCTCTCCCTTTCTCCTCTCAGCGCTTTCCCTCTCTTTCACCCTCCTCCTTCTCCCTAAGATGTTCTCCCTCCCTCCTTCCGTCCCTCCCAGGTCTCTGTGGCCACTTTGCCCCGCTTCTCTTCTGCAAACTGCAGCTTTAACCAGAAGCCAGGCATGTGCTCTGCTCCAGACACCCTGACGGTGGGAACACATGCACTGTTGGCTTTGCTGAATGCCCTTTGCAGAGGAGGGGCCAGGCTGGTGGGCCTGGCAGCTGCATTTCCCTGGCCTGTCTCCTGTGCCCTGCCATTTGCCCCTGCTACCCCCACCCCTTGTTTTCATTTGAAAGGAAAAAGAAAATCCATTGCTTTTTCAACAAAATTCCTTTATTCAGCAACTTATTGAGCACCTACTATGTGCCCAACACCATTTTAGGAGCTGACGATACAGCAATTAAACCTCTATGTCTCAGGGCAAAAGTAAACTTGTCTCTGGACTTTCCAGTTGATTAGTCTGTGCCCACCAGGCTCTTTCAAAGACCACTGCTTGGCCGGAGGGATGGGAGCGTGAACAGCCCTAGTGAATTACCATCATCATGCTGAGCAGCCTCTAACGTGACAGGCCCACCTCCCTACCAAACACCAAGTACCACAAAGCTTACAGACCCAGGGCCATCCTGTCCTTAAGACACTTCTGACCCGAAAGGATGGACCGGTTCCTATCTCACCATTTATCTGGGAGGGCGGAGTAGGAGTCCAGTGTTGTAGACAGACGAGGGAGAAAGACACAGATTTATTATTGAGTACATACTAAGCACCAGCCTGTCCAGAGCTTTACAAAAATTATCTCATTTGATCTTTCTAACAACCTTCTAAGGCCTGGATTATCATCCCATGCTTTATAGCTGAGGAAATTGAGGGCCAGAGAAGATCAACCACTTGCCCCAGGTCACACACATAGCTCTACATTTTTGAAATCACTGATTGTCTGCTGCTCATCTTGCCCCTGTGATGTCTGTGACATCTGGTAAGTTGTGCAGTTATCTGAGATTACATTTTAATCGAATTTTTCAGGAGCATGCCTTGTCTCCTCAGTTAGAATATGAGGATATATAAGGATTTGCTGAACTCTTGCATGAATAAGCTTTCACAAGCGATCAGGGAAGTCTTCCTGGAGGAGATGGGACCCTGATAGAGAAGGCAGGGAGGGTATTGATCTTTCTGATGCTGCTCAGATGTGCGACAAGCTGTAGGCAGGCAACCCATGCTCCACGCCACCCTGCCTCCAGGTAGAGATGATGGGAAATTGCTGTTTTCATTGAGGGTCAGGAGGTAGGAGCTGGGTCGATGGCCAGTTTAATGAGTTAGTGCCTCCTTGGGCAAGCCTGAACTCTATAAACATTCTAAGACAAAGAATGGAGGAGGGAGGCAGTGAAGCTGACAGTAACTACAGGGAAGGGCAAGGGCAAGGGCAGTGGCTGGAGAATGGAGGGGGCAGGAAAGGGGGAGAGCGATCGGGAACAAGAGGGGAGGGGGACAAAGACAGAAAATAAACTGAGAAACAAAAAACATCAGGCAAGAAGCATGCAAGAAAAGACATAACCAGACAGGACAGACAGCAGCATGTGGTGGGGTTGCTAAGAGAGGGTAAGAAGGACACCTATACCCTATACTTCCTTGAGGGCCTTGATCTCTCAGTCCCGTCGTTCAGAGGGTAGAATAGTCACCAGATCAGTCTTACTTAGGCATTTGTTTACTTAATGAGCCTATCTTTTCTAAGCACCTACTGTGTGCTCAGACCTGTGCTAGAGGCTAGAGATAAAGAGACAAATCAGATGTGGCCCCTGCCTTCCAGGAATTCACAGTAAGGGCATAGGTTCTGGAACTGCACACCTGCGGTTAGGATCCAGGCTTCGCCACTTATAGCTGAGTGACATTGGGCAAGTCATCTAGCTCTCTGTGACTCAGTTTCCTACTTCATAGAGCTGTTTTAAGGATTAAGTGAGTTAATACATGTAACGAGCTTAGAACAGTGCCCTGCATTGTAAGTGCTATGTAAGTATATTATTATTGTTATTATTCAGTGGGAGAGTCAGTCTTACAATAATGAAACGAGTGCTATAATACAGGGATGAGCAGATAAAGAGGTGACTGTCTCCATCTGCATTTTATGGAATGGTTCTCAAAGCGCATAATATTTGGGGCAAGGCTTGAAAAGGAGTCATCCCGGCACAGATGGCGGGCCCTGGGACACTGGTGCCAAGGGTGTCTGGGGCGCAGGGATTGCGTATGAAAAGGTGCTGCGTTGTGTATGTGGTGCCTTCTGTAGACTTCAGGAACACCTTGGGCCTGTCCCATCTCAGCCTCTGTTCCGGTGCTTGGGGCTGAGTTTCCAGCGGGGCTGACAGGTCACCCAGAACCTCAGCCTAAAACAGTTGTCCTTTGGGCAGGGGACCTGACGTATCCCTGCTGGGACTGGTCTCATGACCACGGCTTCCAAAACGCTCTAAGACATCAAGCAGTCTCTCCTCCAAACCCAGAACAGCCACAGCCCTTGTCCTCTGGCTTTTTGCACTTCCTGGGGACCCAGTGGACGCCTTGGGCTGAGGAAGCTGCCTATTCAGAGGTGAGTTGAACCAGGTTTGGTTTAGAATTTAGTTTCTCTCTGTACATTTCTTCCACCTACACCTTCCCTGCTGCTCAGTGTTTGATGGACCCGAAGTGAGTTCCAAGATGAAGAGCAGGCAGAGGGTTCCTAGGGCCATAATCATTTCTCACCCTCCAGCTCTCACATTGTAATGGCACTAATTATAGCAGCTAGCATTTATTGAGCATTTACTGTGTGGCAGACCCTGTGCCCAGAGCTTTACCTGCATTATACCATTAAATCCTTAAAAATGCCCCTGTTAGGTAGGTGCTCTTATCATCTCTAATTTAAACTCAAGGGAACTGAGATGCAGAGAGGTTCAGTAACTTGCTCAAAGACATATTACTAGGAAAAAAACCAACAACAACAGAGGATTTAACTTTCTTTCTGACCCAAGTGTTCCCACTCGGTAACCGCCCTCAGAAAGCAGCGGTCCTTGGGCCTGCAGGGTGCTCTGGGGCCATGCAGCCCGTTCTCCTCCCTCCCTACCTTAAGAGGCTCCCAAAGTCCTGTCCAAGCCAGGGGCCGCCTGCCCCCTTTTGGGACCTTCCGAAAGGGTGTCCCCTCTTCCTCCTGCTCCCCCAGGTCACAGCTCCTCGAGAGCCCACATTGT